AAGAGAGAGGGGGGGAGAGGAGGGGGGGGGGGGGGGGGGGGGGGGGGGGGGGGGGGGGGGACTTTGAAAATGGGTGTATGAAATAAATATTTATTCTTTGATTTTCTTGGGATTATATGATGTTAAGCACTTAAATTAAGGAATTGGGGTTGATTTCTCCATTTTTAAGTAATAATTATAAGCAATTTTTGGACAAATTCTACACAGGTGCTGTTTTTGAAATCCTAGCCAAAAAAAGTGCTAGTTTTGTCAATGTTTTCGGTGACAAACTTCAATAGACATTGGTGCTAGTTTTCAATATTCTGGAATTATAGTGCTAGTTTTGTCAATCATCTGATTTTCGTGGATTTTTGGAACAAAACTAAGTGTTAAATATTTGGATTTTTAGTGTTAAAAAATAATTTATATAAAGGAGTATATGTTGTTAGTGACTTTAATTGAGATTATGAGGTTGAAAATAAAATAAATCAAGTTCCCATTAAAAGGGGATATGATTTACTAGAGCGAGTACGTAATATCATACTTGATATTTGAAGTTGAAGCGGTGACGAGAAGATTGAAACTATGATCGACTATGACTTCATGAATGGATATCTACCTTTCAGAAACAAGCATTTATTTAAAATATATTAGTTCTCAAGTTTATATGAAATAATTGTTCATTAGATTTCTTATAGTAAATCATACAAGCTGCACAATTTATTTATTTCAAATGATTGATTTAGAAAGTGTGATTTTCAGAATTAGGTTATGGTTTTTTTAAATAAGCAATGCTTCTAAAAGTTAAATTCAGTTCAGTTAAATCATTTGATTAGCAAGTTATATGAATATTAAATATTTCAGTATAATTAAAGTTATTTTTAAAACCACCTGAATGTACCTAGGTGATTTTACCTTAGTCTGCACTTGTGTAAATGTGTTTCCACAGTGTATGACTAGTTATGGTGATTTTATCCGCTCTGCACTATTGTGAATGTATTTCAATAGTGTATGACCAGATTATCAGAGGTCTTTAGGACCCACTCTCATACACACATTGACTTTGGGTCGTGTACTAAGGTGATTAGCCTTTGGGGCAGCTTTGCATACGTATGACCAAATTATCATATTTGAATGACTTTGTCTTGTACATTGAGATTACTCTGTATATGAGTGAGGCTATACAGTGGGTACCTTTTTGATGTGATTTTCTGTATTTCTACAACTTATCAGATTTCAGATTATAGAATTCAGTTTATTCAATTTTCAGAATAAAACTTTCAGCTTATTGTATTGAGTAGCAGCAATATTTCATGGATTTTCATTGATATCATATTATTTATATTCGTTACATTTTACAGTTATTAACTAGAATGAAAAATAAAGAATTTTATGATGTAATCATGTTTAGTTTTAAAAGTATTACTAGATTTCATAATTTCTCAAAGTTTAATAGAGTAAGAATTTTCAAAAAATATGCATAAAAGAAAAAATATACTTATTTGTAAATTATCCACTAACTGAGCTATAAGCTCATATTTCTTTTACCCTTTATCTTTATTAGATAGCAACCAAATTGAGCAGATTTGGAGTCTGTAGAACCACCGAATCGAGCCATGCTTCATAGATTGTATGATATCTTTTATCAGATTATACAGTATGTGTTCTTTTGGGTACATATATCTTAAATCAGAAAAATTCATCATGGACTCATTACATATTTGATATCTTTAATACATTTGAGGAGTTTTGGTTGTAGAGCAAAGTAAATATTGATTTGTCAGTATTTCGAGAAATTGGAGTGTCACAGTATAAATTATATGTATAGATTTGGACCAATTGATTATTGTTCAGGTAGTTTTAGTCCATATTTTAGAGGAGACTTTGTCAAAAAAATTTAAAATTTCATTACAGTCAAACAAGTCAAGATTGTATTGGTGGTGGGTTCATCATTTAGTTGGTATCTACCATCAATGAATGACACGTGTCGAGTCCACTAAAATGATTCGAGATGGGTTGTGTCAATTAGTATCAAAGCATGATTCGGTGATTGTTAAACTCGAGTAATTCATAGATTTCTTTTTCAGAATGGCACGTCATTGAGATTATTAGTCGTGACAGGGTAGCAGAACTCACAGGCTGGTATTTTGAACTCATATTGCTCCTGATAACAATGATTTGGCAGCTAAGGAACAAGAGCCTTTTTTTATTTGAGCATAATAAGTATGAGGAGGCTATTGAGAATTATCCAATAGTAAAGAGAGTTGTTAGAGTTGTCATATTGGCTCCATGTTATATTTTAACTAATATATTAATAATTGCGCTATATATCCAACAGGTAGTTAAGCGAAGAGTAGAACATTTCTTAGTAATGGAATGCACAACCACGTAAGTTAGTTTTATTGGGTTATGAGTTCTTTTTATGACTATTAGAGGAAATGTCTTGTAGATGCCTTGGATGATATGTGTTGTCTAATGTTGATTTATGTATAGTTTGTGATAGTCATGTGATGAATTTTAATTATCTTGGGAATCTAAATGATTAGTAGCGTTATCTAAATTTTGTAGTGTTTTGTAGCCACTCATATGGGAGGATGGAAAAAAATTACGGTGATGTATATCTATATATATGATAAAAATCTCGTGGAGGATAAATGATGACATTGTACTGAATATTGATCAGTAGAGAATAATGTGTTATTATGTATGTTATGCATTGAGGAAATTGACATTCATGTAGCTCCAATCATTTTGATTAATTATGGGTTATATGATTATAAGAGATGTGAGAAAGATATGGATAGACTTTACAAAGACTATTTATTGCGGGATAAATTGTTGGTGCATTTATGTAAATTTTACCCAATTATGGAATGGTATCCTTTGGTCACATATCATGATCTAAGGCCCTTATTTAATAAACAAGGAGGATTATGCGTAGGTAATAAGTCAATGACCTCTTATTGGAATAAGATTGTAGATCATAATTGATTAAATGTTATTATTGTCTCTTCATAGAAAGAAAGCACCAAATTATGTGGGTTTGGAAATATATAGAGTTTTACTATCATATTACATTATGAGGAAATATTTGTTTTTCTATCTAAAGCTGACGAGGGTTTGATATATGATATTGAATTATTTTAGAGATAAGAAAGTGTTTTGTAGTAAACTTATAAATTATGGATCATACTATGGATTGTTGTAGAGGCATGATTAAAACATGAATTAGAGTTGGTTATATTGGAGACTAAATTTAGGAATTTTGGTGTCATCACATTGCCAGAAACATCAATACTTATCTGTTATCGAAATTTAAGGTATATTTTTATTTGAAATGATTTAAGTTTTGGATATATTATCATTGAGTGATATAGAATTAAAGGAAAAAATCATACTAAGCTATCTCAATTGTTGTTGGGAATAGCTAGAATTTAAAAAATAAAAAAAAATCACAAACAATTAAATTTTTGCAGATTTTGTCAATTAAGAATGGAAGTAGTTACTGTCAAATATTTTTCAATTGGAGCTCTAAGTATATGGAATGGAGACAAATGATGTTTGGATCATTGTTGACAAAGCAACAAAGGTTACAAGATTCTTTTCAAATGATATAGATAGTTCATGAGATAGATTTATAAATAAGATTATAATTTATATGACGGAGTTTGAGTATTTATCTTTGGCTTAGTTGTAAAGAGTTATATGATTAAATTACATTGAGCAACTTCATTTAATAGAATGTCAGACACGATGAGGACAAATTAAGAAGAGGGGCTATCAACTATGGTTTGTTAATTAAAGAGGACTTGGATAATTATCTATTTTTCATGGAATTGACCTATAAGAACTAGACACAAATGATGATAATTGAGGTTATATATGATATTGAAGTATTCCAAAGACGTATTTATTGTGATGAAAATGTTGAAAAAAAAAAGTTATTCGATTTTAGTTTGTAACCATTGTTATAGAAAAAGGGATTTGACTAAAGAATTGTTCAAATCAAGACGTAAGACGAAGTTTTGGAGAATATGAAAAGTAGTATCCTAAACTTTAAATTGGGAAATAGCTGAATTTTTCTAAGATTTGGTAAATTGAAAAGTGGAGAATATCATATATTGGTCTTTGAGATGCTATTTGGAACTTGGGTCCAATTGTTTAATGATGGAGTTTACAATAAGGTTATATGATATTTAATAATGTATGATCTATTTTTAAAGCTTAGTAAGTAGATATCATATTTAATTTACGCTTTTAGATTACCGGTGAAGTTAAATAGAGCTCAGCCAGATAAGATACTAGATATGAAAGAATGAAGTTATGTCTAGTTAAAGGTTGCTAGAAAAATCATTCATTATGTGTGCTTTATACCTCTATATGTTCGAATTCTCGTTGATTGAATTTCGAGGGTGAAATTCTTTGAAGGGGGTAAGATTGTCACACCCCTCATTTTTAGTCAAAGTCAAGAAATAAAATTGGTCAAAGTCAAAGTCAATAAGGACTTAGGTTGAACAAATAATTTTCATGGGACTTAAATTGTAATTATAAATATTCAAGGGCTAGAAATTGTGTAATATAGGGATCTAGGGATTTAGTTTTTATTTTTGAAGATGAGAGGACTAAATGTGATATTGTATGAAGATTGGGGGACTTGACTCACAATTACCCCATAATTATCCATTAACTTAAGAGATAAACATCCATTTTTTCTCATTTTTGGGGGCTAAATTTGAGAAAGATCGAGAGAAGGGAAGAAAGAAAGGAAGAGGAGAAGAAGAAGAGGGAGTGGATTTCCAAGCTTGGTGCTCCATTTCTTCAATTTCTCACTTGATTTTGAGAGGTAAATGTAAGTATATTGAATTAAGTTTTCTTTTAGGGTTTATGGAAATTTTGGTTATATTTGAAGTTAGCTAGAATTAGAGGTTATTGACATTTATTTGAGGTATTAAACATGAATATGTTAAAGAAATATATATTGAAAGATTGTTGTTGGAAAAAAGAAAAGAAAAGAAAAGGGGAGGGGGGGGGGGGGGGGGGGGGTGTGGGGGGGGGGGGGGGGGGGGACTTTGAAAATGGGTGTATGAAATAAATATTTATTCTTTGATTTTCTTGGGATTATATGATGTTAAGCACTTAAATTAAGGAATTGGGGTTGATTTCTCCATTTTTAAGTAATAATTATAAGCAATTTTTGGACAAATTCTCCACAGGTGCTGTTTTTGAAATCCTACCCAAAAATGTGCTAGTTTTGTTAATATTTTCGGTGACAGACTGCAATATATAGACATTAGTGCTAGTTTTCAATATTCTGGAATTATAGTGCTAGTTTAAATTAGATTAGTTCTCAAGTTTATATCAAATAATTGTTCTTTTGATTTCTTGTAGTAAATCATACTAGCTGGACAATTTATTTATTTCAGATGATTGATTTAGAAAGTGTGATTTTCAGAATAAAGTTATGTATTTTTAAAATAAGCAATGCTTCTAAAAGTTAAATTCAATTCAGTTAAATAATTTGATTAGCAAGTTATATGAATATTAAATATTTCAGCATAATTAAAGTTAGTTTTAAAACCACCTGAATGTACCTAGGCGATTTTACCCTAATCTACACTAGTGTGAATGTGTTTCCACAACGTATAACCAGTTATGGTGATTTTACCTGCTCTACAATATTGTGAATGTGTTTTCATAGTGTATGAATAGATTATCAAAGGTCTTTGGGATCGACTCTCGTACACATATAGGCTTTGGGCCGTGTACTAGGGTGATTAATCTTTGGGGCAGCTCTACGTACGTATGATCAAATTATCAGATTTGAATGGCTTTACTTTGTACATCGAGATTATTCTGTACATGAGTACGGCTATTCATTGGGTACCTTTTTTTGTGTGATTTTTCAATATTTCTACAGCTTATTAGATTTCAAATTATAGAATTCAGTTTATTCAATTTTCAGAATAAAACTTTCAGGTTATATATTGAGTAACAGTAATATTTCATGGATTTTCATTGATATTATATTATTTATATTCATTACATTTTACAGTTACTTATCTAGAATGAAGAACAAAGAATTTTATGATGCAATCATGTTTAGTTTTAAAAGTGTCATTAGATTTCAAAATTTCTCAAAGTTTAATAGAGTAAGAATTTTCAGAAAATATGCATAAAAGAAAAAGTATACTTATTTGCAAATTATCCACTCACTAAGCTATAAGCTTATATTTCTTTCACCCTTTATCTTTATTAGATAGCAGTCGAATTGAGCAGTTTTGGAGTCTGTCGAACCACCGAATTGAGCCACGCTTCATAGGTTGTATGACATTCTTTATCAGATTATACAATACTAATTACATATTTGATATCTTTAGTACATTTGAGGATTTTTGGTTGCAGAGCAAAGTAAATATTGATTTGTCAATATTTTGTGAAATTGGAGTATTGTAGTATAAATTATACGTATAGATTTGGGCAAATTTTTTTGATAACCATAAGTGTCTGGACCAATTTGCGTGCACCTCAACTAATCTCATGGGGCTCTGAAATTTACAGTCGAGTACTCATCTCAATAGCTCTGAAGAGACTCGAACTGGTGATTATTAGGGAGCAAATCCAAGGTCTGACCACTAAACTACCCCTCGAGTTATAGATTTGGGCAAATTGATTATTGTTCAGATAGTTTTAGTCCATATTTCAGATGAGACTCCATCAAAATCTTTTAAAACTTCATTACAGTCAAACAAGTCGACGTTACCTTAGTGGTGGATCCGGCACTTAGCTAGTATCTACCATCTGCACACGATACGTGTCGAGTGCACTAAGGTGCTTCGGGACTAATTAGAAACAAATAGAATAAGGTTGACGTCAACATTTGCGATCAATTAGCACAGACTTTTATTTTAGCATTCATTCGAAGAAACTGGTCATCAAATGACTTCATCTCTACCTGAAAACAGCCCAGCACCTAATAATAAGTCCATTATATGAGGATCAAGCTAAACATGGGAAAATTGATTTTTGAAGGAATGGAGAAGATCGCACGCCTGAATGTATTCACCTGAGATAACAATTTGTGGCCCGTGGAACCAAGACTGACCAAGAATCTCACAAGTGATAATTAGGGACGATTAGGGCTCAACCCGTTTAATGTTTACTTGGCCCAGTTGTTTGACCGATCCATGCCACTATATAAAGTGAACTTTTGTCCACATTGAGAGATATACAAGACACAGACACTACTGATACTTCCTTTGCTCTGTGCGCGTGATCCTTTGTGGTTTCCTTTTTGCGCTTTCACTTAATCTTTTCAGCAACCATTGACAGCGTATGTAGCCAACTGTCTTCAAGAGCCCTATTTTTGTCCATGTTTGCCTAGTGTTTCGGCCTCTTTGTTGCTGTCGTCTCTGTTCATTTTTTCGCGCATTCTATGGGTTGTTCTTAGTGATTCTAGTGGGATTCTTGGGTCTAATTGAGTTGAGTTGTTACATTGTTGCCTTGGGTTGGTTGAGCTGAGCCCCATTGACCCATCTTTGATTCTGAACGTAGATTTGAATAGGGAAGTATTATTCTTGCATTTTCATTTACTTAATTCGATTTCTAGTTTTGGTTATTGATAATTAATTTTCTATTTTGATTATCTCTACTCATTAGGAATCATATTTCAATATATTGGTATCAGAGCGCTATGACTCGGCTGGAGATGTGTTCTTTGGCTGCCTATGTGTGAAATCGAATTTGTGAATTTGCTATAATTTGGAACGTGTGCTGTCTTGAATCCTTCCATTGCTGACTTTGCATTAAGGACTTAAATCCTTAATTAAAATTTCGCATCTCTCATTTGTACAGACCACGATTGAAACAGAATACAGAGCCAAGTTGACTTCGAGTTCTAATTCTTGTGGCATATAGCGAATAAACATTGTCCATTTAAAGAATAACCATAAAACAGGCCCATCTAAGTTTAGGTTGTAGTCAAGTTAGAAGACGGCTTTAAGTGAATGATATAATAGGAATAACAGTGCATAAAAAACTATAACTTAGATGTAGCGGAAGAGGATGGATTTGAGTATATGACAATCGTTGAGAAAGATTGCATAAATTTCATTGACAAAGTGCGGAGTTTAATATTGGAGAAGAGGACGCTACTGCAATACAAGCTTATTTCTCAAAAATGCAAGCACATAATCTAGGTTTTTATTTCAGTATGAACTTGGGTGAAGAGTGTCGTTCGAGAAATGTATTTTGGGTAGATAACCAATGTAGAGAAGCGTATAAAGAATTCGACGATGTCGTTACTTTTGACACCAGATACCTGAAAAACAAGTATGATATACCTATCGCTCCTTTTGTATGATCAATCATCATGGTCAGTTAACTCTATTTGGATGTGGTTCAATTTCAAATGAAGATACAAATACATTTGTTTGGATATTTAGGACATGGATTGAATGCATGCATGTCAAGCTCCAAATGGAATTATTACAGATCAAGTCGGGCTATCCAAAGTGCTTTTGAAATAATTCTCCCTAAAACTAGGAATAGATGGTACTCGTGGCATATTCTGAAGAAATTGCTAAGATGTTTGGCTATCTTAGTGAAAAAGGGTCAATAGCTTATGCTATACATTGGTTAGTGTACGACCACACTAAGTTACGAAGAATTTGAGAAAGGTTGGTTGAATATGGATGAACATTTTGAATTGTAAGTTCATGTGTGGATGATTGTAATTTATAATGAGAGAAGTCGTTAGGTGCCATACTATTCGAAATGTATATTATAGACAAGCACATCGACCATCCAATGGGATGAGAGCATGAATGCTTTCTTTGAATGGCTATGTGCATTCAAAAGTATATTTTTAAAGCTTTTCGTAAAGCAATATTAGCGTGCGTTGAGAAGTAAAGTTCATAAGGAATTTCATGTTGATTATATATCATTCTCTCAAAAGGTTTCCTGTGCTATGAAGTATGATATGGAAAATCAGTTCCAAAAAGTATATATAATATCAAAATCCAGGGAGTTTCAACAAGAATTTATAGGAAAAGTTCATTGTGAAGTACTATATGTGGAAGACTTTTGTGGGCTAACAAAGTATGAGGCTTGTGAGAATATCATTATCAATGAAGGAATGAAGAAAAATTTAGTGTTTGTTTTTGTAGAGATATATGTGAGATTGAGTGCAACTATCATTTGGTTGAGTTTTGAGGTATCAATTACAAACATGCAATCTCAATTATAATCCAGAACAATGTCTCATTGCTCTCCAATAAGTATGTTTTGAGGATATGGAGGAAAGATGTCAGTAAGCCATACATGTGTCCTAACCACGTGTGATGGTTTGGTTAGTACTGTCGAAGAGTTGATAAATGAGTAGTTGTGTGTCGCTTTTACAAAATGGTAGACTTGGTGATGACAAATAAATAATGGTCCAAATATTTTTTTGGATGGATCTAATTCCAAACAAATGAATTGGTTAAATCAAAACGTAATATTGTAGGGATACATGGGAATGAACTTGGCAGTGCTGAAAGCTGAAACATTATGGATCCGAACTTTAGAAAAATAAAGGTGCGTCGAAAAGAATTTCACATAAAGTCCATTGGAGACGAATTCAGAGAAATCGAAGGGTCATAAAAATGTTCTACACTTCATGATTCTCTTGCCTTTTAATTCAATATTCATTTGATACAAGTTTGATTTATTTATTAAATACATCATGTATAGATACCTCTGAAATCCACAATTTCAAATAGATATAATCGATCGAAAGACAATGCTGAATACATTGTAAATGTTCAAGTGGCACAAGTTTATAACATAACTTCTCAAGCATCGCAAGTTATTGGGACTCAAGAGAGCATTAAAGTAATATCAAGTTTGTAATAATTTGGCGTTTGTACTTAAGCAGGCTGTGGGAATAGATGATTTTTTTGTATCTAAAGCAGCATGTGGAAATTTGTATTTGAAGTTTGTAGATTGCTTTTGTTTACGGCTATTTATAAGCTAATGTGGGAATAGATGATTTTTAATTATTATTCATTTGTTTTAAAACTTACTAATGATGAGTTTTAGGAAGTAATATGGGGCAAGATTATGAGGGAATTTGGTTACAGTTTAACTTGTGGAAATTTGCTTCCAGTAATGTGATCCGCTTCCAGTTTAAATCCAAGTGAAGACATGGCCAAAATGTCGAGAGGGGCACAGTATCTAGATATCGCTTGCTATACATTTTGATAACTTAAAAATAATATCATCCGATTACATAAGTTTTACGAACACAAACAAACTAGCTATTCAATTCGCTTTACATTCTCCTTATCTTCCGATTTACCTTTTCCATTTCAGATAGTTACATTGAATGATATCTCCACATCCTCTTCTTTGATCTTCAATTCAACCAAATTTTTGAACATATGGTGTAAGTTTTGAATTGGTGAAGTAGCTTGATTTTCACGTGACAACTTGAAGCTTGATTGACTTTCACTGTAAATGTCACTAGACCGTCCTTTGGTTTGCAAGGCTTTCTTCTTCGGCCGAAATACCCACAATCTTTTAGTACAGCACAAGAATAATCGAACAATGTTTTCCTTCTTCTTCTCCACCTTTATTAGTTTCACAATTCCCTCAAAAACATTTTAGGCATCATTGTTTATTTGGATATTCTTGCAACCTATGTCCAAGATGTCTACAACTGTGGCAAATACACATGTTCTTTCTTGCCATTTATCAATTCAACTTAAGCAATGATAACTTCAGAGTTACAATTCAAATACACAACATTGTAATGCGATAGTTTGAAATGCATAAAAACCCCGCCCCGCCCCGCCCCGCCCCGCCCCAGTGTCGCCCCGCCCCGAATGGGCAAAAAAACCCGTCCCGTGAAGAAAAAATAAAAAAATAAAAATTTAAAATAATTTTATTTCTGGACAATTCATCCGTTAAAAATTCATTTTAAATTTGTATTTTATTATCTAATAATAACATAATTCGAAACTTTCAAAATGAAAAAAATAAAAAAAAAAAATTAAAAAAATTAAACGGGGCAAAAAGTTGGCCCGTCCCCGCGCCGCGCCGCACCCCTCCTCGTCTAAGGCGGGGCGGGGTTTTTACCAAACGAGGAGGGGCCGGTTCGGGAGCCCCGAACCCGCCCCGTTGCCCTCACTAT